GGGGGCTAAGCAGCCAGTTACTCCCAAATTAAATCCTCCATTAACCCTCAAGCCTATCACTCTATTCAAGCAGCACTTGAAGCTCTGATGCAGTAGGATATGTTCTAGCCCCTGAAACATGTCTTCCTGCTATTTTTGGGGTGTACATTATTAAAATTAAGCTCAGTATATCGCAAGCTATAGCTCGCGGTATACGGAGACCGCCACAGCCAAGACGGATCCCGACATTACTGTCAAGATCCACCCAGCTGCGTGAGTGACAGCTAGCTCTGCCTATCTAGAGGCAGAGCCAGCTGTACCCTCCCCCGTCCGTTCCTCCAGTCAGCGCTGGTGGAGGGGGGAATCCCTGCGGGGAGCCGTGACTGACGGTCACGGCTCTCTGCAGGGACATGAAAGAGAAGCAAGCGACGGTATGCGTTCTCTCACTTCCTGATCTATTGAGCCGACGTGTGATGGTTTACATTGTCACACGTCGGCTCGAACTATGAGGATGAGTGATTTTCAGTCCCCTCATAGTTCTCCTTTTTAAGGTCGTGTTGAGGCAGTAAAAAAAACTGAAAAGCCCATCTCTAAAGTACAGTGAGATAAAGTATTGCCTTCTTATAACAGAAGGTATTTACACATCCTTCCAGCACAAAACCAAGGAGCTCAGTGTCTGCTTATGGCTTAGTGTGTAGAGTCATACATACCTTTTTGAGACACAACAGTCTTGCATAATCCTGGGTTTGCTTTGATACTTGGTTGCTCTCATTTATGACTTGTCATCTGTCGTGCTGTAAGTGGCTGTCTGGCATGCTCTGCTCTATTTATTTACATCAGCCTGTTCTGAGAATTCACGTCAGCAGTCGCTGAGATTGCTTAAACAACGTGATGCATGTGGAAGTGAACAATCCAGCCTCCCAGTGTAAATATTGAAAAGGAATTACTACACATTTTATGACTTAGTTTTCTGAAACGTGCTGTGAATTCCCTTGTCTATAGGGAGGTTGTGCAATGTCAGTATGTGTCATAAATCTGGCTGATGATGGTTTTGATCAGATAAGGCTTAGTAATCATGTAAAGGGCTAATGCCTGGCACTGGGGCCTTACCTAGACACCAGGACAAACAACTGTCTCCTCATTTTGGATGTCTATGGACTTAGGTGCTGATCTAAGTCTGATCACCCTTGAAAATAGTCAGTTTCCTGTTCACTACTATATAGTTTATGTCTATAGACATGCTGCAACAAAGGATTTTTATTTATCAACAGCAGATTCCAGTCTGGAAATAGTGCTATGATTTTCCTAAAAAGCGGAAGCACTCATAACTAAATGGGAATAGTTCAAGTGGCATTCTGGGTAAACGACTAAATTATAGTTAAAATAAATGAATGTGCGCTGCTTTTCTGCCAAATGTAAATCTGCTCAGCCTGTTTTACGAGTTCCACATCGATGCTATACTGCATAGTAAGGCAGGTGACTGATTCCCTATTTCAGCTTTGCCGCTTCCGGCTTACCTGCCCAGTCATTGGAAAATCACCTGGTAACAGCACACCGCTCACTACTTTTTTCAGTAAACAGGCAGGTGACACCAGAAGCTGTGAAATAAAAGCAGGAAATTGTGGTGCTGCCTACCAGGCTGCTCAGCTATGTGTAAATCACAAGACTGCGTAAACAGAATTGCATCCTTTGGCAGACAAATCGGTTTACGCATGTGGATTTCCATTCTTTATTTAGCAGTTTGCCTGAAGTTACCCAATAGTTTAATCGCACCCATTTTTGATGAGTTTAAGGCCCGGTTCACACCTGGGCATTTTGTAGCGCGTTCCTACGCTCTACAAAACGCTCAAACACCGAAATCCCATTATTTCCTATGGGTATGGTTCACACCTGGGCGTATTACAGGCCGCATGAACGCGCTACAAAACGTCCTACGCCCAAAGAAGTACAGGAGCTTCTTTGGGGCGTTTTTGTTGCGCGTTTCCATTGGGATACAGCCAAGTAGCCCTCGGAAACGCGCGCTTTGCGCGGTTTTTACAGCGAATCGCGCATATTCAATACGCCTAGGTGTGAACCCAGCCTAAGAAATGTGCATTCGGTATTGTAACAGCAGCCTGGTTTTAGGAGCCGTTCATTAGCAAAGGGGGTGAATGAAACTTAAATTTTTAAAACTTTTGGTGGAGTGTGAAGGGTTTAGAATCTTTGATGGATTTTTATTCTTTGTCCCCACTGGGGAGATTCCTCTCCTAGTTGACACCAGGACACGAAATGACAGGTGTCATTGCAACAGGAAGACTAAGGCCCCATTCACACTTGGCGATTCGCAAATTGCGCGTTTGTCGTGCGATTTGCATTTTGCGCGATGATCACGCGATATCACGCAAATGCTTGCATTGAAAAGCATTGAATCGCGGCAAAATCTGCTCCAAAAAAGGTCCTGCTGTAGCGACACACGACCCGCGACAGCAGGACCCTTTGCCCCATTGCCAAGCATTGGAGAGCGACATCGCGCGCTAAATAGCCGCGATATCGCGGGAATTACCGCGCGATAAATCGCTCAGTGTGAACGGGGCCTTATGCAGAAGTACAATCCAGTCAGAGGTTCAAATCGTTCATCACACTACATAAAACTTCCAGTTTTTCTATCTGTCCTCATTGGAGAGATTTTCCACCTCTTTCTGCCCCTATTAACACTTAACCTGGCCATACATGGCTCAAATGTCAAATTAAAGCATTTTGGCTGCAGTTGAGCTCATCGTATGAATTGAATTTGAATTCCTAGCACCGCCTGAATAACTTTTGGTTGTAAAATTAGAGGCATTAATAAAACATTTGTAAGTATAACATCTAATTGATTTATCCAACTGATGATCTGTATGTTGTGTAGGCCCTTTCGTCGGGTGGATGGAAATGGAGACTTGAAATGGGATAGGATTACGAGCCTGGAGAAGGGACAAGTCTACAAACAGGTATGATGGGTATGAGAGGCGGTATGGGTGATGGTATAGCATTGGCTTGGCATGGATCAGGTAATGCGATTGTTATAGGAATATCTGGAATGTAGTTTGTAGCTCTTTGTGCTACTGTTCCGTCTCTCTTATATTTCCATGTAAACAAAAGGCTCTCTGGCCAGACAAGGCCTGGAAGGGCCTGTTTTGTTAAGTGTTTAATTAATACGTGTTCCACTGACCAAACCAGTAATTCCACCAAAAGTGACACATCTCTGATTTTTAACTGCTGAAAAGATGTGCTCACTAACACACACACACACACACTCTCTCGCGCGCGTGCACTCTCTCTCTCTCTCTCTCTCACTCACACACACACACACACACTCTCTCTCTCTCTCTCTCTCTCTCTCTCTCTCTCTCTCTCTCTCTCTCGCACACACACCCACACC